TCGTCCGAAGACCGCATTGTCTCTGGCCTGCTTGGTAATCACATAACACGTGATGAAAGTGTGGATGGAGGACCACGTTGTCACTCTGCAGATTTCCTGAGCAGTGACCTACACCCGGAATGCTGTTGATGAAGCCTGCGCCCTGGTATAGTGTGTAGTGATTGAGGGTGCAGGAACCCCGCCAGGTTGTAGCACTCATGAATGTAGGATGTGATCCATGACGAAATGTGTTGTGATGACACTGGCAGACCTTTCAGTCTGTCTGCCAGCCACGAATAACTGGACCAATTTTCTGAATGGCTTCATTCTCTCGATGTAAAAGGCTAGCGCCCTGCGGACATCCAGAGAGTGAAGTCTCTGCTCCATACTGGTGGAATGTGGCTTAGGGTAGAACACCAGAAGTAAAATGTCCTGGTTGATGTGAAACTGCGATACAAGCTTTGGGAAGAAAGCAAGGTGAGGCCTGAGCTGAACCTTGTCCTTATAGAACATGGTATAAAGAGGCTCTGATGTTAGGGCCTTGAGCTCAGATACCCTTCTGGCTGAGGTTATTGCTACCAGGAATGTCACCTTGTAAGAGAGGTGGAGCAGGGAGTATGTTGCCAACAGTTCAAAGGGTGGTCCTATGAGCCTAGAAAGGACCAGGTTGAGGTACAGGTGGGGACCGGCTGACGGGGTACAGCCTGTCGAGCCCTTTTAAAAATAGTCTGACCATCGGGTTAGCAAACACCGAGCGGCCCCCCGCGCCCGGATGGAAGACTGATATGGCGGCTAAATGCACGCTTATTGAAGACAACGAAAGCCCCTGCTACTTAAGGAGGAAGAGGTAATTCAGAATGAGCAGCACTGAGGCTAGTGTCAGAAGTGAATGGCGCTGCGCTGACCAGATCAAAAATGTCTTCCACTTGGCAAGGTAGGTGGCTCTAGTAGAGGGTTTCCTGATGCCAAGCAGACCTAGTCGAACCTGTTCTGAACAGGAAAGCTCCATCAGGTTCAACCACAGAGCTTCCATGCCGTGAGGCGAAGCAATATGAGGTTCAGCTATTGAAAATGACAGTCACCTTGCATTAAAACATCTGGGAAGAGTGGAAGGGTGACCGGGTCTTCCACAGACATGTCTAGGAGAGATGTGTACTAGTGCTGACGAGGCCAGGCTGGTGCTATCAATATGACCTGAACTTGTTCTCTCCAGATCTCGAGGAGCACCTTGTGAACGAGCGGTATGGACAGAAAGGAGATGGCCTCCCCATGGAAGGAGGAACGTGTCCGCTCTGGATCCTGCGCTGTGATTCTGGAAGGAGCAGAAATGCTGGCATTTCCTGTTGTGTCATGTGGCGAATGGGTCTATCTAGGGAAAGCCACACCTCTGGAAGTTTGAAAATGCGACATCTGGGCAAAGGGACCACTCGTGGACCTGAAACGACCTGCTTAGGTCGTCTGCCAGCTCATTTTGTACATACACATTTTGTACATACTTCAATCCTCCTGAGAGATCTTGATTAAATGTTCACAGAGGTACTCTAATCCTCAGCCAAAGGTGTAAGGGAGGAATGCATTATTTTGTCTTCCATGGAGGACACTTTCCCAGCCATTCAGCAACAACTTCAGCAGGCACCATTACAGTACACAAGCTAGTAGCATTTGACCCAGGTGGCTTTGGGACACCAGCAGCAGCTGTGCTGACTCTGCCTGTGTTACCTTCAGGAGTGCTATATCAGCTAAAATCACCATTGCCTGTGGGAAATGGTGCCAGTATTCAGTGCCATCTACTACTAGAATCATGCAACCCAGCAATCTCCTCATTTCCCAACTCCTGGTGGGCCATACTCAACCAGGCTCATGCTGTGACTGGCACAGTACATATGCAATTCCAAGCAGACACAAGAATGTAGTCTTAAAACTTTAGGGGAGCAAAGGGAGCGAGTTCAGCATCTTAAGTTTGTTTCTATTGTCACTGCAGCCTCCAAGGTCTCTCCCTTTACTCCTCTAGGATGCTTGAGCCAATAAGGAGAAAGAAGAGGACTTGGGATGACCTGTTCAATGAGATCTGCATGCCCATGCTGATTGGACCATGAGCACAGGGCCTGGGTGATGAATGCAGAGGACAGCCTGGAGAAGGAAAGAGTGGGCAGGAGAAAGGCCCAGGAGTCCCAGCAGGAAAATAAGGAAATGCACCAGGACATAATGGGGCTTCTCAGGCAGCGAACACAGATGCTGTAAACTCTGGTGGACTTGCAGGTCCAACAATCCTAGGCTTGCATCCCTCTACAGCCCAATGAGAACTCAAATCAGGACCACCCTATTCCCCCCCTGCCCCCAACTTTTCACATGACAGTGGAGGTCACTGCACCACCCCTATCACTGCTCCCTGGGGGCCATTAAAGACAACCACAGCTTAATATGAACTGTGGCTTCCATATGGCAACGTGTGTATGTGTAAATGAAATAGAAATGAGTATCCTTTCCCTTTCATAAGTTCTGTTCTCTTAAGGTATTAAGTTTGGTTAATATTTTAATGTATGTGTTTTAAAATTGCCCATTTCTTGCACTGATTGTTACATAATACAATTTATTATTTGGAACATAATTCATCTTTATTAATTCAAGGCATGTGCTGCTGAGGGATCAGCAGTTCTGATCAATTAGCTGTTACTGCATAGCGTCACACAACTCATAGGATCATTTACAAACAAAATTAATAGGTGCACTGACATACAGCAATCACCACATGACTCCTACGAGGCCACCAAAAAACATGGCCAGGTAGAGAACACTACAAAAAGCTGGCTCATTGTTAAAATGGCCTTGCAAAGGCTCTGAGCCATATAGCTCTAAGTTGAACTCTTGTAAGGACCCCTGTATCTAGCCCGTCTGCCCTCCACCCTGGCAGAAACTTTTCCTCATCCCTTCACACATAGCATGCAGGACACAGCAGATAACTATAATCATTGGGATATTTTTCTCACCAAGGTCCCATCTTGCAAGTAAACAATCTTAGCAACCCTTCAAATAGCCAAAAGCACATTCAACTGTCATTCTGCACTTGCTGAGCCAATAGCTGAACTGTTCCTTGGTGCTGTTGAGGTGGCTGTTGTATGGCTCCACGAGCCAGGGGTAGGTTGGGTCACCAATGATCAATATTGGCATTTGAATGTTCCCAGTGCTAATCCACTGGTCAGAAGAGTGTCTTCTTGTAGCTTTCTGAACAGACCTGAGCATCATGCGCCTTCCCTGACCAGCCCACACTGATGTCAACCAACCAGTGATCGACCAATGTTTCCATAACCATAGAAAAGTAGCCCCTTCTCCTGATGTACAGTGGCAAAGTGCTCTGGTGCCAAAATAGGAATATGCATGCTATTACTCCACTGCAGTTTGGGAACCCCACTGCTGAAAATCCATCCATCATGTCCTACGCTCTGCCTAGAGTCTCCATCCTGCAGAGCAGGAGGCAATTAAGGACCCCTATGATGGATTTCCTCACTCCAAATTGCTATCAGTCAGGAATCAATTTGGCATCACAAGTTTCACAGTGCAATTGCCACTCACTTTTCCACCATCAGTGCAGTTCTCATTTTGGTGTCCTTGCACTGGAGAGCTTGAGGGAGCTCAGGGCACAGATCCAGGAATGTGGTCTTGCACATCTGAAAGTTCTGCAGCCACTGCTCATGATCCCAAATCTTATGATCCCACAAGTTAGTGCTTGTATCTTGAGCCCAGAAGCAGCACTCCGCCATCTGCAGCTGCTCCATGAATGCTAATAACTTTGAACTGGTTCTCACTATGTCCCACAGCAATCTGTCCTCCAGGGAATCGTCATGTTCCCCACTCATTTGGGTCTTCTTGTGGCTCTGCAAATATTCCACGATTGTGTACCCTCTGCTTGCAATGCTCATGAGAACAGAGCTGAGCCATGTAGGCTCCATGCTACTGTCAGATGGCAGACAGCAAGTCAACTGCAAACTGTGAAGTTGACCCCATGCTCCTAGTCACCCCTGCATGACTTAATTTAGCCCCCTCATTCATTGCCAAAACTTCCCAAAACACATTGCACTGGACAGTAGTACAGCTACATTGCACTCTGTATTGATACAAGCCCCCTGGTGAGTATGTGCACCTCCGACACAAGGAGCCAAATATGCATATGCACAAGCAATGTACTAAATGTGGTGGGAGTATGCCGACGTAACATGAGTTGACATAAGTTTGTAGTGGAGACGTGACCCTAGAGCCACCCAGAAATTGAAATCAGAACTATGGGATTGTGTGCATACATAGTTTCTCAATTACTTTTAAAGTTTAAGACATTAAACAACAAGGAGAATTTTTGGCAATATATCTGAAGCAGAGGTAACTAAAGACACTAGGTGACCATTTGCTGTGTTACTATTTGCAGTTAATCTGTGTTTTTTTTGAAAATGTCACCAATGAAGTGTTTTTTAAACTTGCATGCCAGCTTTAACATCTAATATAAGCCTTTGGCTATTGGTGCACGTTTGACATACCTTTAAGTCAGAAAATCATCTGATTTGATATAACCAAACTAGTCTGTTCTAATACTTAAGAATTGCTGGAGTATTTACTTCCTTTGTACTTGTGATGGAATCTCTTAACTAAGTTACCTAAAGGAGACTATCAAGGAATTGGGACTACAGTGGTATATCAGACCAAAGTGTTAGTTCCACTTGAATTGACAATGCCTGTGCCCTTGTTGGCCAAGCTACGGCTCTGAATGATTCATATTAAAATAACTCATTATTTCAAATCCATTTTGCAACACTGATTTGCCTATTATACCACCATTCCCCACATCTGGCTCTGTGGTGACATATCTAGATTAGTTTGTTGTACAGAAAAAGTCATTGACCTTTGTGGAGCCTTCCTTCTCCTTCCATTCCACTTTAATAAAACATATTTTTGTTAACTTTAAAAAGGACAATGAATATATTGCAAAAGGGTTACCTAAATCTCCATGTTTAAAAATAATACAAAAGCTCCTAAACAGGGCAAATTAATTTTAATATGAAAATGTAGTCAAACCCATCTCAAATTAAAACCTGCAATGTTCTTAGAGGACACAAACGCTACAGCTAAAATAAATACTACTGACTGTGCCGTGGAGATTACAACTGAAAGATTCACATGAAAAACTAAAATTAACAATTTTACCTTTAACAGATCTATGCAAGTTTATTTCTTTATGCAATATTTTGTAAGCAGTTGTAATTAGAGCTGCAGAGATAATTTGTGATGTATACAAATACCTTTCAATTACTACTTACATGATGTCTAATATAGCAGTTTCTATAATGTAGCAGTAATAAGTAATTTTAAATAAGCATCATTTCTACACTTTTCTTTACATGGATTTAGTAAGAAAGTCTAGTTAATACATGCTGGTTTTAAAGTTTCCCTCCCCAAAGAACAAGTCAATTTTCATTTTCTTTGAACATTTTGCTTAAGTGTTCAACTAGTGCTACAAGTTCAGGGTTTCCCCCAAGTGACTCAATCTGTTTATATGCTTCAGATTCAAGCTTTTTCAGCGTTTGTCGAGTGTACTCAAAGGAACCTACATTCTCAAGGTAATGTACACAGTATTTTTTGATGTCTACATTTTCTGTCCTTTGACGCAAAATATTCTGCACCTGAGTGCTTTCAGGTCTGGACCAAATAGCATGAATAGTTGGGAATGAGAACTTTCCCTCAGTTAAATCTTCACAAAAACTCTTGTTCTCACTATATTCTTTGGAGTGTAAATTAGCATAGTCGTCTCGTATTTGGAAGAAGAGCCCAAGTGTATTAAGGAGTGGTTTTAAGTCTCTTTTATAATGGGAAAAGAGCTGCATGAGGCCCACAGCTAATCCAAAGAGACCACCTGTCTTTTGTAGTACCATGGCTTTATACTCTGCTTCTGTAGGACAGGTGTATGTATCTCTCCAGTAAATATCCAAACCCTGGCCCTGATGGAGTTCCAGCAGCTGACGAGTGAACACTTTCACAGCATCTGGGTGATCAAGTGTTAAAACCTTCTGTAGGCCAAGGAAATACACATAATTAGCAGAATTTATTACAGACGGAATTCCATAGATGCTATGAGCCACTGGAAAGCCCCGTCGTAGCTTTGAGTTATCTTCAATGTCATCTATGAGTAAGCTGGCATTGTGCAACATCTCTGTCACTTCAATAATAACCTAATAATACAAGAAGAGAAAAGTCTTACATTGTAAAATAAGTTCTAAATTTGTGGAATATTTTGCATTTGCACAGCATTAACTAGTATTTTGCTTATTTTTAGTTGGTCCACCTCCTCCCTCTGTTGAGAGGGGCTCCCTAGAGCTCTGTTACTAAACTAATTTTCATGCAAAAGGCCTTCTTGAACATGAGTGACCAGAACTGTACACAGTATTCCAAATTAAATCTTACCAATGCCGCGTACAATGGCATCAATACTTTTCTCTACTAGAAATGCCTTCCTCAATACAACCTAGGATCGCATTTGCCTTGGTTTTTTGTTGTTGTTTTTTTTGCAGCCACATCACACTGGTAGCTCACTGTCATCATGAGATCGACCAACATATCCAGGTCTGTCCTCCTCTGTTTTCAACTGATGTGGGTCCAGACTGTAGCAGAAATTAGATCTTAAATTCATGATCTACATTTTTGTACTATTGAATTTCATCCCATTTCTGTCACTCCAGTCTTCAAGGTCATCCAGATTTTCCTGTATAACATTCTGATTCTCTTTCATACTGATGAGGCCTCCCAACTTTGTATCAGCAAGTTTCGTTAGTACACTCCTGCCTTTTGTGCCAAGGTACTCCGAAAAATATTGAACTGGATTGGTCTTGGAACAAATCCCTGAGGAACTCCCACTAATAACCTCCCTCCAAAACGATAATTCACCCCTCAGTACAACTCATTGCCATCTCCTCTTTAGGCAGGCAAGGGAGAAGTGTGGTTCCAAGATGAGATGTTTGGAAGCAGATGAACAGTCAGTGGGAAAGCAAGTTTAAAATGGCAGAAACTATAGAGAAAAGACACCAGCTAGCATTGAGACTGTATGAAATCAGAGTAGATTAGATGGGGGCGTGGCCTGCGAGGTAAGATGGAACAACTATTTTATGAGAGAAGACTAAGCAGTTGGCTTGTTTAGTCTAGCAAAATGAAGGCCAAGAAGAGAGAAGAATTACTCTCTATAAATAGATCAGGAGGTAAAAACTAGGGAAGATGAAGAGCTATTTAAGCTAAACAACAATAGTGCCACAAGGACAACTGGATATAAACTGACCATTAATAAGTTTAGGCTGGAAATTATAAGGTTTTTAACCATCAGAATAGTTAAGTTTCTGGAATGGCTTCCCAATAGGACTGTGGGGGCAAACAACCTAATTAGTTTTAAGAAAGAGCTTGTCAAGCTCTATGAGTGAGACTGTATAACATGGATTTGGGGGGGGACGGGACGCAGGGCTCAGCCATCCTGGGCTCCCCTTCCAGTTTGTGTCTCTTATGTTCCTAAATCTCATGCTTCAGGGCTTCAGCTGGTCACTTGCAGGGGTCAGGAAGGGATATTCTCTCCCTTGCCGAAATGCATTTTTTGGATCTCCTTCCTCTGAAGCATCAGATGGCTCCAGCTGGAGATAGGACACAGAGCAGGGTGGGCCAGTGGTCTGAGATAGTATTGAGAATTCTCTCAGGTTCATGCTCAGAATCTGATCACCATATGTGGGGTTGGGAAGGAATTGTCCCCCATATCAGACTGGCAGTGACCCTGGAGGGTTTTAGTCTCTACATCTTGGGCATAGGTAATCTGTGAGGATCAACTCGGTATCTTTCACTTAATTCCCTGCCATTGCATGGGGCTTAGGCATTAGTACATCTCAGTCTCTCCTATCCTCTTCCTATGAACATAGTAACAGTCTCCTGAGAGTTGTAACACTTTGGTCTAATTTCAGTTGTTGAATTTAGATGTGTGGATGTCTGGATGGTGTTGGTGGCCTATAATATACAGGAACTCGGGCTATATGATCTGATGATTTCTTCTGGAGTTGAACTATGAACACCATGGAAGGTGTTTAAAAAAATAAGCAGCAGCAGCTTTCAACTGGATCCTCGCATAAATAATGACAGGTTTCAGAGTAACAGCCGTGTTAGTCTGTATTCGCAAAAAGAAAAGGAGTACTTGTGGCACCTTAGAGACTAACCAATTTATCTGAGCATGAGCTTTCGTGAGCTACAGCTCACTTCATCAGATGTATACCGTGGAAACTGCAGCAGACTTTATATATACACAGAGAATATGAAACAATACCTCCTCCCACCCCACTGTCCTGCTGGTAATAGCTTATCTAAAGTGATCATCAGGTGGGCCATTTCCAGCACAAATCCAGGTTTTCTCACCCTCCACCCCCCCACGCAAATTCACTCTCCTGCTGGTGCTAGCCCATCCAAAGTGACAACTCTTTACATAATCAAGTCGGGCTATTTCCTGCATAAATCCAGGTTTTCTCACATCCCCCCCACCCCCATACACACACAAACTCACTCTCCTGCTGGTAATAGCTCATCTAAACTGACCACTCTCCAAGTTTACTTCCTCGTGGCTGGATTTTACTAAAACTAGACAAGCCATTTACAACGCACACTTTGCTTCTCTACAAAAGAAAAAGGACACTAAACTTTCTAAACTACTACATGCTACAAGGGGCCACAGCAATGGTTCCCTCAACCCACCTAGCAATATTGTTAACCTATCCAACTATACTCTCAGCCCAGCAGAAGTAGCTGTTCTATCTCGGGGCCTCTCCTTCTGCCCCTCCACCCCCACGAACATGATACAGTTCTGTGGTGACCTAGAATCCTATTTTCGACGTCTCCAACTCAAGGAATATTTCCAAAATACCTCTGAACAACATACTAATCCACAGAGGTCTCCCTACCAACACTACAGAAAGAGGGATAATAGATGGACTCCTCCTGAAGGTCGGAACAGCAGACTGGACTTCTACATAGAGTGCTTCCGCCGACGTGCACGGGCTGAAATTGTGGAAAAGCAGCATCACTTGCCCCATAACCTCAGCCATGCGGAACGCAATGCCATCCACAGCCTCAGAAACAACTCTGACATCATAATCAAAAAGGCTGACAAAGGAGGTGCTGTTGTCATCATGAATAGGTCGGAATATGAACAAGAGGCTGCTCGGCAGCTCTCCAACACCACTTTCTACAAGCCATTACCCTATGATCCCACTGAGAGTTACCAAAAGCAACTACAGCATTTGCTCAAGAAACTTCCTGAAAAAGCACAAGATCAAATCCGCACAGACACACCCCTGGAACCCCGACCTGGGATATTCTATCTACTACCCAAGATCCATAAACCTGGAAATCCTGGGCCCCCCATCATCTCAGGCATTGGCACCCTGACAGCAGGATTGTCTGGCTATGTAGACTCCCTCCTCAGGCCCTACGCTACCAGCACTCTCAGCTACCTTCGAGACACCACTGACTTCCTGAGGAAACTTCAATCCATCGGTGATCTTCCTGATAACACCATCCTGGCCACTATGGATGTAGAAGCCCTCTACACCAACATTCCACACAAAGATGGACTACAAGCCGTCAGGAACACTATCCCCGATAATGTCACGGCTAACCTGGTGGCTGAACTTTGTGACTTTGTCCTTACCCATAACTATTTCACATTTGGGGACAATGTATACCTTCAGATCAGCGGCACTGCTATGGGTACCCGCATGGCCCCACAGTATGCCAACATTTTTATGGCTGATTTAGAACGCCGCTTCCTCAGCTCTCGTCCCCTAAAGCCCCTACTCTACTTGCGCTATATTGATGACATCATCATCTGGACCCATGGAAAAGAAGCCCTTGAGGAATTCCACCATGATTTCAACAATTTCCATCCCACCACCAACCTCAGCCTGGTCCAGTCCACACAAGAGATCCACTTCCTGGACACTACAGTGCTAATAAACAATGGCCACATAAACACCACCCTATACCGGAAACCTACTGACCGCTATTCCTACCTGCATGCCTCCAGCTTTCACCCTGACCACACCACACGATCCATCGTCTACAGCCAAGCTCTGCGATACAACCGCATTTGCTCCAACCCCTCAGACAGAGACAAACACCTACAAGATCTCTGTCAAGCTTTCTTACAACTACAATACCCACCTGCAGAAGTAAAGAAACAGATTGATAGAGCCAGAAGAGTTCCCAGAAGTTACCTACTACAGGACAGGCCTAACAAAGAAAATAACAGAACGCCACTAGCCGTCACCTTCAGCCCCCAACTAAAACCCCTCCAACGCATTATTAAGGATCTACAACCTATCCTAAAGGATGACCCAATACTCTCACAAGTCTTGGGAGACAGGCCAGTCCTTGCCTAGAGACAGCCCCGCAACCTGAAGCAAATACTCACCAACAACCACATACCACACAACAGAACCACTAACCCAAGAACTTATCCTTGCAACAAAGCCCGTTGCCAATTGTGCCCACATATCTATTCAGGGGACACCATCACAGGGCCTAATAACATCAGTCACACTATCAGAGGCTCGTTCACCTGCACATCCACCAATGTGATATATGCCATCATGTGCCAGCAATGCCCCTCTGCCATGTACATTGGTCAAACTGGACAGTCTCTACGTAAAAGAATAAATGGACACAAATCAGATGTCAAGAATTATAACATTCATAAACCAGTCGGAGAACACTTCAATCTCTCTGGTCACGCAATCACAGACATGAAGGTCGCTATCTTACAACAAAAAAACTTCAAATCCAGACTCCAGCGAGAAACTGCTGAATTGGAATTCATTTGCAAATTGGATACTATTAATTTAGGCTTAAATAGAGACTAGGAGTGGCTAAGTCATTATGCAAGGTAGCCTGTTTCCTCTTGTTTTTTCCTACCCCCCCCCCCAGATGTTCTGGTTTAACTTGGATTTAAACTTGAAGAGTGGTCAGTTTAGATGAGCTATTACCAGCAGGAGAGTAAAAAGAAAAGGAGTACTTGTGGCACCTTAGAGACTAACCAATTTATTTGAGCATGAGCTTTCGTGAGCCACAGCTCACTTCATCAGATGTATCTTCGTGAGCCACAGCTCACTTCATCAGATGTATCTGATGAAGTGAGCTGTGGCTCACGAAAGCTCAT